GCACCCTGACTGGCTCATCTCCGGGGGAGGACTTTCTATTACCATCTCTCCCCGGGCTGCTAAGCTAGGCAAGTGAGCTTATTTATTTATATGTGTGTGCTGTCCTTTTTGAGAACTCAGCTGAAAACAAAAGTGGAAATGATTGGTTTGTAAAGAATGAATAACAAGACCTGCTCCCAGATTTTCCTGCAACTGTCCCGCCCAGGAGTAAAGGGTCTTGGCCATTTCCTAATCTCTGACGACGCGCCGGAAACCTTTTGGTCCAATTGTCTGAAAAGCGTGCTTTGCCATTGTTTCTAGGGTTTTGCGGCCTCCGGGTGGTGGCTCCAATTTCTCATTAGGCTTTGACGAACCAGCAGAACAACCTGTGCGGAGGAACAAAATGGCCTCCAACATCTTTGGGACGTCTGAAGACAGCTCCCCTTCCTGGGCCAAGTGCACAGGTATCGCTCCCACCTGTCATCAGACCCCCTCAGCTGCTCGGGCACTAGCTCCCCGTTGTTGCTGTGCAGTCGGCTCAGGCAGCAGGAGACACTGCCCGGTCCGTGCCCCTCGCCATGGTCAAGCACGGTGTCAGTTGGTCTCTTGGAAGCACTTCCTCTCCCCTCCCACTGACCTTCGACCTTACCAAGCATGGTGTCCTTGTCCAGAGACGGTCTCTCTAGATGCATCCAAAATCAGTGAAAGGAAGTCATGCCATCCATGCTTCTAAGAAGCGTTCTTGGCTGTACTTCCTCCAGGGTAGATCACGGTTCTTCCGTCCGTCCATCCGTCCATGGTACCTTCTGTCTTCTCTGCCAGCACCGTGAGTCACATGGGTCGGTTTGGCTGTCTTCTACCTTTGTCACGAGGTGACTGAAAATACCATGGCTGGGTCAGGCGCACTTAGCCCTCTAAGTGACTTGGCTCTCGAACCCGCTCCTGCTGGCTCAGTCGTGAACAAATAGAAAGTTACGACGTGTTTCCTCAGAGGAGAGGCTGGTGCACAGGCGGGGACTCTGCGGCGTCTGAGTGACTGGCAGAGTAAGCCAGCGTCGTCCTTCCCAGGGAGGGGGACGGGGACGGGGATGGGTATTGTTGCTAGGTCCCTGGGTGGCGCGAGGGATTGTGGTCTGCTGCTTACCCGAAGATGGGCAGTTCAAACCCGGCCCCTCCCTGCTGTGTCCTAGAAGAAAGGCCTGGCTTCTGGGTCTACAAAGGTGACAGCCAAGATAACAGTTTGGAACAGAGCTCCATTTTGTCACATGTTGGGGTCACCATGAGTGGAAATCACCTGGGCAGCAGCGAGTGTGCCTGCTCTGTCTGTGTGTGATTTTTCAGGGAGGCTTGACCTCACTTTGTGACCCAAGACCAACATAGAAGGCCAGCTTCCCCCGCGCCCTGCCCGCTCCTCCGTCCGTCCGTCTTTGTGGTCTCTCGGACGTGCCTTTTGTCTCACAGGTGCCAAGGCCAGTGACGGCAGGGAAGACTCCGAGCCCTTGCCGCCCCAGACGAGAAGCTCTTCGGAAACAAACTCTGGAGACTGTTTCGACCTGAAGGTCAGTGTGACCCAAGGAAAAGGCCCGGCGTGCAGTGAGAATGCCTTAGAAACTCCATTTCTTTGTTCACTAACGGCTTTTTACAGAGAGGATTTGGAAAGCGGTGGGAGATTGAGAGACGTGGAGGAGGGGTACGAACTGTTGAGTGCACATGACCTTACCTGTGCTGCAAGCATCCCTACCCCCCAGACTCTGCTTTCTCTGGATGCGCTCCCTCCCTGGGTCTCTCGGTCGAACTAGTGGTTACTAGTTCGAAACTGCCAGCCTCGCTGTGGGAGAAGATGGAGCGATTTACTCTGAGTGACAGTCTCAGAAACTCGTAGGGGACGTTCAACCTTGTCCTGAAGGGTCGCTGTGGGGCAGCATGGGGGCAATGGAAGGGAGTGTGGTTTGGGGGCCAAATGCTCAGAATGATGCTGACTGTGTAGCATCGTCCCAAATTGAAGAAAGGTTGCTTTTCTAAAGGGGATGGGACCCTGTACTTGACCGCATCAACATTAAATTCCAGCCCCCAAACCATTGCCCTAAACAAAACCCACTGCTGTTGACACTGATTTTGCTGACCCAATGTAGGTTTTCTCTTCAGCAAATGCCCTCATCTTCTCCCAGGGATCGGCTGGTGGGCTTGAACCGCCAATCCCGTGGCTAGCAGCCCTCCACTCATACTACTGCACCAAGACCGTCACTCTTCACAGGAGTAGAAAGCCTCCTCTTTCGCCCCTAGAGCAGCTGGTGTTTCCTGGCACTGCTGACCTTGAGGTTAGCAGCCCGGCACGTAACCACTGCGTCCTCCCCAGGCCCCCTTCTTGCCCGCAGTTAGTCTCCACATGAAAGTCTCCCTGCAGTCCTCTTGAAAGCAGACGGTCGTCCAGTTTAACAGGACAGACGGTGCCCGAGCACTGCACTCTCCAGACCTGTGGAGATGGGCTCAGCGAGGACAGCGGTTCTGTACGCTCGTGGAGGAGGGCCATTCGAGACTCACCAGTGTCGCTGAGCTGTGCGCGCAGACGCTGAATTGGCGTCTGTGCCTTATTCTCAACAGCAACACATGAAGAAAGCAGAGCGTGTGTTTAAAAAACGGAACTCCACATGTGGTTTGGATGCTGCTTCCTGGAACTGTGGTTATTTGTGGATTGCAGCGCTAAAGCCCCAAGTAACCCTTCCACTTACTTTTCTCTTGCAGGGAGAAGGCGATATTCATGGTGAGTGGATCAGAGGACGGAACCTCCGGCTCTGTGGTGGTTTTAGAACGGCCCTGACCTGAGTGGTTTGGAACCCTGTCCGGAGAGAGGCAGGGTCGTGCCCTGGTGGGAGCGTAGCTGGGGTGGCCAGGGGAGGAGAATGAAATGAGCGAGTGGGAAATGTGGTTGGATTTTCTGCTTCCAGAGGGAGATGGTTACAGTTTCCTGCACAATTCAAGCCCAAAGATGGGAGGGCTCATTGCAGATGAGCGGCCATGAATCCAGTTGGTGTTTGTTAGCTCTAATGAAGACTTTGGAGTTAAGCAAGTGACTCGGCATTTTGAGCTCCACTCACAACCTTTAATTTAGAGTTTTTATACCAAGCTGCTCACTCGGTTACCAGTGATCTCCTGAATGATAGCTTAAAGGCCGAGATAGATGGCTGGTGCGCAGGCCTGTCACCAATTACATGGGGGGAATGAGCTGTAATCACCGGCTGAGTTGTTTTAAATCTTGGGAGTATTTATTGGCACTTGTATAACGAAGGCCACGAGAAAGAGCTGGCTGGTGAGGGGAACGAGCGGAGCACAGGTGTGGGGCAGTAGCAGGTGGGTCAAGGGCAGGCAGCTTCGGGCGAACTGCTCTGGCTGGAAGGGGGGCACAGCTTCCCCCGCCTGTTTGCCACATTGCTCGTTTGTCAGAGGCAGGACCCCGTTCTGGGTGGAGCTGGTGGCTTAAAGGCCAATCCAGTTCCGCCGGAAAGTTCACTCACAAACAGGCCACCTCTGGGTGGGTTCGGACTTCGGGCTGTTTGGGTATCGGCCAGGCACTGGCACCCTCTTTGCCACCCCCCAGGGACTCGAGTCTCCCTACTGGGGGAGGCGGTGGTGCGTGGTTACTCCCTATTTGGAGCACAAAGTCATCCCCCTACTAAGTGTAGGACAATATAAACTCAAGGGAGCCCAGAGGCATTTTCAGGGCCTGAAACCACCCTGTGGAGCGATAGGTAGTGTGTGCCCTTCTGAAGACTGGCTTCAGCACCCGCGTGGTTGCCCCAGACGATGGGGAGCCCGGGGAGTGCCCGTCTCATCACACCCACCAGCAGAAATGGCACAACTTGAATCCATATGTTGACTCGGGCTGAATTCATGGGCTCGTCTATCTCTTGATTATCTGTTGTTTAATGGGGAGTTTTCTTTTGTATGGTGGGGGCTCTGTATGCACAATGACGTGAACCGAATCTCCCAGGCGGTGAAGGGACACACCGGGAGGGCTTCTCAGTAGGAGCCCTGCTGGCCCAGCGGCTGAGTGCTGGGCGTGGACCCCACAGCCGCTCTTGTGCGGGAGGGCTGGAGGTGGCAGCCTGCTTCTGGACAGCTCTGCCTGGTCGCCCTGTGAGGTGGCTCTCGCCTGCCTCTCCTGGCCCCCGTGACACTCCCAGCTGTGCGCTTCTCTGCCTTTTAAAACTTTTTTTTAAAGCATTTTATTGGGGGCTCTTACCGCTCTCTTAATCACAGCCCATCTGTGCTTTATTTTTTTCCCAACTCATTTTTTAGAATTGTGATTTGGGCAAAATGGTAGACGTTTCTCTTTCCCCTTGGACTTTTTGGGCAAGTGGTGTGACTTTTTGGCCTGTATTCTCTTGGAGGGGCTTGAAGAAACACAGTGTTGCCACAGTTGACCCCGCTCATCAGTGTCTGCGGGAGCCCTGGTGGCGGAGTGGTTTCGTGCTGGGCTGCGACCTGAAAGGTCGGCGGTCAGTAACCCCCAGGTGCTCCTCGGGAGAAAGGGGGCTGTCCACTCCGGTGAGCAGTTAGTCTCGGAAACCACGGGGGCAGTTCTGCCCTGTTGCAGGGCATCCGCCGTGCGTCGGCACCCACTCAGCGGCAGGGAGGGTGGGTTTTATTGGGTTCTCGGTGTCTGTGATGAGCTGTAGGGTATGGATGTGTTCAACCAAGAAAGCTGCCTACGGCGGGTAGAGGTGGTGGTCCGGCAGGGTGGGCTGGGAGTGGGAAGAAGAGGGTCCCCTGGGAGCCCCTTGTCTCCAAGTACTCGAGGCTTCAGTTGTTTGGATCCTTTAGAGAAGAGCCCACGCAGGAGAACGGGAACAAATAGGTCCAAACATTACCCAGCTGCTGTGCAGGCCGTCCCCAGCACCCACGGACGTCAATGACACTCTGCTCCCCAGGGTTCTCCACGGCTGGTTTTGGGGTACCCCCACCCGGGCTGGCTGGGAGGGTTGCCCTTGTCTTTCTACCGGCAGCGGTTCCACCCTTTTCCTTGTTTTCCATTGCCCTAGAAAATGTGGACCCAGACCTGTCTGCCAGCCTGGGCCCGAGCGAGGAGAAACCCGTGCCTGCTGCCCCTGTGCCCAGCCCCGTCGCGCCGGCGCCCGTGCCGTCCAGGAGAAACCCGCC